CCACCGCGCGCCCGGGCCGGGCGAGTTAGCGCCCCTTGCCGCGCAGCTCGTGCGCCAGGGCCCCGAGCTCGTCGCCTAGCTCAACGCGGCAGGGCTCGTCCGCCTCCGCCGCCCGCCAGACGCGCCCGCTCGAGCGAGGCGCGGGCGTGCCGCCCGCAGCCACCACGGCGCCGTCTTCACCGCCTCCAACTTCGCCACCTTCGCCAAGGAGACCGTCTCCGCCAGCAGCGGCCGCCCCGACCGCCGCGGCTCCCGCTGGCCGAAAGCCCGTCACGCCGCTCCCGCCGAAGGAGTTCGGCCAGGGCGCGTCGCGCGCCGCCACGTCGCGCCCTTGCGAGCTCCGCATCATCACCAACGCCTCGATCACCGCGCTTCGCGAGTCCGCGTCGGCCGACGCTGCAACGCACGCGCGGCGGAGCAGCGCCCGCATCTCAGCGTCACTCGGCGTCGCTTCGAAGCGGCGGGCGCGCCCGAATCCCGCCGGCGGCCGCAGGTCACGCGGCATCTCCAGCCACTCCACCGGGCTGCCGTCGGGCGACCCGCCCCTCCAGCCACTCGATGTACATGTCCAAGTCGGGCGTCGGCACCACCCGGCAGGCGCCATGGGAGGCACCTCCGGCCTCACTGGCCGCTGGATAAAGAAGGATCCGCTCGTGCCAGAGGTCGCCCTCGGCGTAGCGGACCACTGCTCGACGCCAGGGGATCAGCCGCGACCTAGACGCCCTGGGAACCAGCGCCATCCTGGCGGGACGCGCTGACGCGCGCCCGGGCAAGCACGTGGCCGAGCGCGAAGCCCGCGATCAGCGCCACGACCGATAGGAGCGCTGCCGCCGTCCAGCCGACGCAGCCCTCCGCCGCCTCGCGCAAAGCTCCTGCCAGCGCGTCGCACTGCGCTGGAGTTGCGGCGCCCAGCCAGGCGGGCGCGCCGCCGCTTCCGCCGCCCCCGCATGGCGTCCCTGCCTCGTCAAAACCTTTGCCGCAGGTGTAGTAGCAGCCTGGGCACGGCGGGCAGGGGGGCACGCAGGCGCCCACAGACAACTCGGTGGCAGCGCCCACGACGCACCCGGGTGGAAGTCCGCGCGGACGATCTCGCGGAAGCCCGAGGCCCCCGCGTCTACGAGGGTTCGGGAGGCCTCCATCATGTCCCTGGAAGAAAGATTTGAGCAACGGGCCATGGAATGGACGGCAGTGGCGACGACGACAACAGATTCAAAAACGTGTGGAACACGGACGGTGTATATATCCATATACACACATATACATACACTTATGCTTATGTAGTGCGTATATATATATATATATATACTAGAACCACGCGCGCGCTTCGCGCGCGCTTAGGTTCTGTCGAGTCACAGACCCAGGAATCGTTGTGAGAAGAAATTGGTGACGCGAAGCGTCGTGGGGGCGTCCTTGGACGTCTGGGGTCTCCTGGGGCCTCTTGAGGGGCCTCCTGGGGGCCTCCTGGCGGCCTCTTGGGGCGGAAGGCTCGAGCTTGCGGTTCGTGGTCCCCCTCTGGGCCCCCTCTTGGGCCCGTCTTGGGGCCCTCTTGGGCCATCTTGGGCGCGGAAACCCCAAAAGACAACTTTGTTGAACATGTACGTTTTACAAAGGGAATGGGCCAACTTTTGCGTCTGGGGGCCCTCTTGGGACGCATGTTGGAGGCTTCTTGGGGCGTCTTGGGGGCGTCCTTGGACGTCTGGGGTCTCCTGGGGCCTCTTGAGGGGCCTCCTGGGGGCCTCCTGGCGGCCTCTTGGGGCGGAAGGCTCGAGCTTGCGGTTCGTGGTCCCCCTCTGGGCCCCCTCTTGGGCCCGTCTTGGGGCCCTCTTGGGCCATCTTGGGCGCCTCTTGGGCCGTCTTGGGGCCCTCTTGGGCTGTCCTGGGGCCCTCTTGGAAGCTTCTTGGGCCGTTTTGGGGCGGTCTTGGGCGCCTCTTGGGCCGTCCTGTAACGTCGGAAAGCCCAAAAGACAACTTTGTTGAACATGTACGTTTTACGAAGGGAATGGGCAAACTTTTGCGTCTAGGGGCCCTCTTGGGCCGCATGTTGGAGGCTTCTTGGGGCCTCTTGGGGGCGTCCTTGGACGTCTGGGGTCTCCTGGGGCCTCTTGAGGGGCCTCCTGGGGGCCTCCTGGCGGCCTCTTGGGGCGGAAGGCTCGAGCTTGCGGTTCGTGGTCCCCCTCTGGGCCCCCTCTTGGGCCCGTCTTGGGGCCCTCTTGGGCCATCTTGGGCGCCTCTTGGGCCGTCTTGGGGCCCTCTTGGGCTGTCCTGGGGCCCTCTTGGAAGCTTCTTGGGCCGTCTTGGGGCGGTCTTGGGCGCCTCTTGGGCCGTCCTGTAACGTCGGAAAGCCCAAAAGGCGACTTTGTTGAAAATGTACGTTTTACGAAGGGAATGGGCCAACTTTTGCGTCTAGGGGCCCTCTTGGGACGCATGTTGGAGGCTTCTTGGGGCGTCTTGGGGGCGTCCTTGGACGTCTGGGGTCTCCTGGGGCCTCTTGAGGGGCCTCCTGGGGGCCTCCTGGCGGCCTCTTGGGGCGGAAGGCTCGAGCTTGCGGTTCGTGGTCCCCCTCTGGGCCCCCTCTTGGGCCCGTCTTGGGGCCCTCTTGGGCCATCTTGGGCGCCTCTTGGGCCGTCTTGGGGCCCTCTTGGGCTGTCCTGGGGGCTTCTTGGGCCGTCTTGGGGCGGTCTTGGGCGCCTCGTGGGCCGTCCTGTAACGTCGGAAAGCCCAAAAGCAACTTTGTTGAAAATGTACGTTTTACGAAGGGAATGGGCCAATTTTTGCGTCTAGGGGCCCTCTTGGGACGCATGTTGGAGGCTTCTTGGGGCCTCTTGGGGGCGTCCTTGGACGTCTGGAGGCCATCTTCAGCATCTCGGAGCCCTCTTGGAGGCCTCTTGGAAGTTTCTTGGGCCGTCTTGGGCGCTCCTGGGGCCGTCTTGTCTGACCGGGGAGGCCTCCGGCAAGGCCCGACGAGCCTCCGGGCCCCCCGGGGTGCACATTTGTGGTCGGGGTCCCGGCCCCGGGCCCCCGGACCCGGTGCGCCGTTATATGTATACTACTCGAATCACGCGTTCACTTCGCGCGCGCTAAGGCTCTAGCAAGCACCAGGCCGTCACAAGTTCACAGATCCGCTGGCGCAATTACCACCCAGTGGCAGTGGTTCAAAAAAACAGAAATCACAGTCATTCTAAGACCTCTGAAATAGTTACCCAAAGAATGGCATGAACATGGGGAGTATTGTGGGGGCCCTCGGGCGTTCCTGAGGCCGCCTGGAACCCTGCCAGCGGTCTCGGGGGCCGTCTTCGGGTCTTCGGGGTGCAGGCTGGCTTTGTGAGTTCGGGTTCCGCCTCTTGTGCCCCTCGTGGGGCTCTCCTGGTGGGTCTCTGAGAAAAAAACCCAAGGAACTCTCGGGGCGGAAGGCTCGAATTGTGGGTTCGTGTTCCCCCTCTTGGGCACCTCTAGAGGGCGTCCTGAGGCTCTCTTGCGCTGTGTTGGACGCCTCTTGGGCCGTTTTGGGGTCCTCTTGGGCCGTCTTGGAAGCCTGTGGAGGGCTCTTGGGCCCTATTGGTGCGAGGCTGGGGGGTTCTTCAGCAGTCGTGGAATGTCGACAGCCTGAAGACGCGGAACAAACAGAACACTGAAACACACACACACACACACACACACACACACACACACACATACACACACATACACACACAAACACACAAACACACAAACACACACACACACACATACACACACACACACTGCATATAAATGATTTTGAGCTCCCGGGGCCCTCTTGGAGGTCCTCTCGGAGCGCTCTTGGCGCCTCTTGGGAGCCTCTTGGGCCATCATGGGGCCATCTTGGGCGGCTTGGTGCGCTCTTGGGCCGTCCTGGCGGCCTCTGGGCGTCCGCTGCGGGCGCCGAGGAGGGCCCTCGAGGCGCAAGGAACGCCCAGGAGAGTTCAAGAAGGTCCGCCGGCGCTGGGGACTAAAGTGGGCTGCGGGGGGGAAGTTTTGAAAAGTGGGTGCCCCAAGGTCCGGGTACCCGGTCGCCAGTTACTATGTTCAAAATCGGGTCCCCAAAAATCCCTGGACCCACCCATTGACAACCGGGACAACCCCTCCAAGATGCATACCATAAGCGTCCCAGAATGTGATTGTGGCTGTCGCTCGAACAGCATCATCATGTCCACTTAGGGATGTGGCCGGCGCTGAGGCGAGAACACCACGCCTCATGATGAGGCATGTTGCCAGCGCGAAGGCGACAGCACCAATCCCAGACAGAGATGTAGCCATAGCTCGGACGCGAGCACAATTCCCAATCACGGATGTTGCTGGCGCTCGAGCGGCCACACTATACGTACCCAATGAAGAATGTGGCCGGCGTTGAGGCGAGAGTACCGTTCCCAATCGGGGACGTGGCCCGCGCGCAGGGTTGCGAGGATGTCTCAAGACTCAGGCGGAACTGTCGAGACCGGCTCTCGCGCGGTATCTCCGACCCCAGAATTGTGAGGATGTCTCGGGTGAAGCTGCCTGGAACACCTCCGGTCAGAGTACCTCTGACCCCAGAGTTGCGAGGGCGTCTCAAGCGAAACTTGCCAGACAACTTCGTGCGCGGCATCCTTGAGCACAAAATCTGGAGGAAGTCTCATGCGAAACTGGCCGGACCACCTCAGGCCTGAGTACATCGGAGCCCAGGGACATGCAAGACGGAATGTCTAAGGCGAGTCTAAGGCGGGCACGGTGCACTGCGAAGACCTTGAGCCAAGACAGTGCAAGGGCACATGAGAAACAAGCAAAGCAGCAGGGGGACCTGCCGTTCAAGTAGAGCGCCCTGAAGGGAATGGGAAGGCGAGGAATGGGAGATGACAGAGGGGTGCCGGAGACGTGGGAGGGCAGGGCCAAAGAAGAAACACCTGGGACGCCCGACTCCGCGCAGGCAAAATGTTCCTGGCAGAGATCGCGGAGTACAATTGACTTCGGCGACGACGGCGACGACCCCAAGCAGCGGCTGGCAGCTCCTGCGCCCACATGTCGAACTCGAACGGCGGGGGCACGAGGGCAGCCGCAGCGTCCGCGGCGGCATCCTCCTGGACATGCCGTTGGGTTTCAACATCTGCCTGACTTTCTGGCAAAATGCCTACACTGGGGCCCCTGTTTGTAGGGGAGGAGGCCGTCTCCCGTGGCCACCCGTCCGAAATACATCCCTGGCTGCTGTCCCCAGCCCTGTGGGTGCCGCACATCGCTGCCAAATTTACTCAGCCAGCCAAGTCTCCGACTGCCTGGAGCCCTGGCGCCGCCCTCCGTCGCCACAGGTTCCGTTGGCCAGGCGTGTCGGCGTGGCCCCCACTGCCCTCGGCCTTGATGCTATTCAAAGTCTTGTCCTTCGCAACCATCTTCCTTCATTCCCTCACACCTCCTTCCCCTTCCTCCTTGTCCGAAGCTTCCTCATCTTCTTCCTCCTCCTGCGTCTCCGCCATTTTCCTTAGGAAAATGTAGTCCCGAAGCAAACCCCGAATGAGAGGCTTTCCAAGTTCCTCTCGGGCAGTACAGGCCAGAATGAAACCTGGCCCAACCCATCAAGTGTGGTGCGGTTGTGGGGTCCTTCTCCTTCCCTCCCTCCCTCCCTCCCTCCACCCTCCCATCCCCATCCTTTGCCCATCTTCTCCCCCCTCCCCTCCCATGGTTTCTCTTTCTCTTCCCAGCCTACTTCTTTAGCTTCGCAATGAGTTGGGTGCGAGGCGGCGGCAATCAGAAAGGACAGTGAAAGAATGCGTGGGAAGGGAAAAAAGGTTCAGAAGGGGAAGGGGCGCGGGGTTGGGCAGAACCTTAAGGGATCATGTCCCCATCCCCGTGTTGCTGCTACTCCTGCGTCCGATGCCGAACGTAATATCATTCCTGCTAACCCTCCTGATGCCATTCATCATTCTGCGTATCCTCCTCCTCCGCCCGTGTGTCCTCACTTTCCTCATCGTCCGTCTCCTCCTCGTCCTCCCCCCGCCCCTCCCAATGCTCACGCTCTCTGGGCCGCCATCGCATCCCGCTCCCACTGCGCCTTGCCCTCCTGCTCGTCCTCCGTCTCCTCCGCCTCCGTCTTTTGCTGTCTCCCCTCCTCACGCATCTCTTCCCCCTCCTCCCTTCCTCCAGAGTCTCCTCCTTCCACCGACCTACTCCTCTTACATTCCAACCTGCCAACTTTCCTCATAATTACCCTCGTCGTCCTGCTCCCGCTCCTCCCCAACCACTGTCTCTTCCTCGTCCTCAATATTTCAAACACTCGCTTTTCAATTCTGGGCCCCATCCGTAGAGCACCATTACGGCGCTGGCTGGCCCCAAGCGGCTTCGGAAAAGAAGGCGAGTGTACGAGATGCAGCATGTGTCTGCCATCACGACCTTGGCTATGCTCTGTGACACCGCACGAACGGTTCAGCCTTGGTGATCTTACTGCTTCTTCAAACGGCAATCCACACTGAGCTTTCGTATTGATTACCTGTCGTATTGTGATGTGGGAACTGGGCCCGAAACGGTACCCTGAATGACCGACCTGGCGTCGCCGCCGCGTCGAGCTGAGCGACCTTGCTGGCCTCAGCGCCCAGTCTTCAGCGCAGACAAGCCAACTCCGAACCCCCGCAAGAAGGGAACCCGGGGCGGGAGGACGGGGGCAGGAGCAGGAGGACACGGCGGACAACACGGAGGCGGATTTGAGGATGGGAAGGAGAAGGGGGATGGAGAGGGGCAGCAGGAGAAGGAGGTCCCATGCGACTGTCAACGGAACTTGGCCCTGGCTGGCTCCCGTCCATGGCGCCGCGTGGTGCCGGCGGTAGCGGCCGCCGCTGCTCACAGCTTCAGCCAGCCGCATCTCGCTCTCCTCTCTCTCTCTCTTTCTCAAGGGTCCACTGGCTGGGGGTGGGGGCGCTTTTTGTTCTGGAGGGCCAAAAACAAATCACACGCCCAGCCATGACCTCCTGGATCACCAGGTCGGGAGTCGGGGTCCTAGCGGGGGCAAGGGGTGGGTTGCGCTGTCATCTATCTCTCTGTTCTCCCTCTGGCTCTGCATGCGGGCGCCACCGTCCCGTGCCGCGAGGCGCGAAGTCAAGTTCTCTCTGTTGTCTGTACTCAAGACTCTGGGAGTATAGTATAATAGAGGTTGGGGCACAAACATCAAACATGTCCTGGGCGTTCCCGCGCGCTCTTGGGCTGTCTCGCATGACTTGTCCAGAGGCCAGAGGACCCCACGATGGGCCAAGATGGCCACAGAAAGCGTCCAAGAGGGTCCAAGGGGCCTCCAAGACGGTTCAAGAGCGCCCCAAAAGGCCTAAGATGGCCCCAAGACGGCCCAAGAGGCCCCAAAGAAGCCCAAAGAACGCTCCAAGAGGAGCCCCAAGAGGGCCCAAAGAAGCAAAAACCATTGATGTCCCGTGTGTTTTCGATATGTGTCGCGTTCTCGCGTTTTCGGGCTCCCGACGCTCCAAGATGGCCCGAGAGGCCCCCAAGACCGCCCAAAGACAATCCAAGAGGCCCCCAAAAGTGCCCAATAGACGGTCCGAGAGGACGCCAAAACGGCCCAAGAGGCGCCGAAGATCGCCCAAGAGGGTTCCAAGACGGCCGCAAGAGGGCCCCAAGAGGGGGCACACGAACCAACAAGTCGAGCCTTCCGCCCCAAGAGGCCCCCAGCAGGCCCCAAGAGGTCCCCGCTAGAGCCCTGGCCCCCTGGAGGCCCCCTAGAGGCCCCAAAAAGCCCCAAACGAGGCCCCGAGAAGCCCCCCAACGCCCCTCAAGAGGCTTCAAACCTGCCTCCAAGAGGCCCCCGAGAGGCATCCCACGATATCCAAACGAACATCCAAGAGGCCTCTACCCCACAACCCAGGCACGGTGGCGGGATGGACCGAAGGCCACTCGAGAAAAAAGCACTTAGGAGGAGCTGGGGTCCATGAGTAGTTCCCCTCACCGCCGTGCACCAGCCTGCAGAGCGAACCAGAACGCACTGGAGGCGTGAGCCCCTCGGGACTGCCGCGCCCGCCCATGGCGGCCCCCTGGCGAGGAACGTCGGCGGCTGCCGCGCCCCGAGAAATCCGACGTCCAGTTTTTGTTTCAACGCATGGCTCTCCAGAGGTCTGGACTCTGATCCAGAGTCGTCTACTGACGGTCCTAGCCCCGGCAAGATCACAAAAAGAGCGGGACACAGCCAAGGACATTCCGTCTTGACTTGTTTCCAGGACGCGAGGATCCCAGGGCCCGCCGCGGGGCTCCTCCGTGGCCGAGGCGTCGTCGGCCTCCCGAGCGGCGAAGGGGTCCTCGGGGGGGCTCGGCGGGCGCGAGGAGGAGGCGGAGACGCCGACGCTGCACGAAGCAACATTCGTTATGTTTTTTCGTTTTCCCTCGGTTTGTCTTCGTCCCGCCTTCCCTGCAAAACAGGACTCAAACGAGAACGGCCCACGAAGTGGCCAAAACGCAGAACCTAATTAGGCCGAGCCCTGGCACGAACGGAGCACCTCGTTGTCGTCGTCGTCGTCGTGCGCTCTGTCGGCGGAGCACGGGGAGCCGCCGCGGCGCGGGCGCCAGCCTCCCCAGCTAACGCGTGCAGAGGTTCGGCGACGAGGGGCACAGCTGAGGGGGCAGGCGAGTCCAGAATCGAATCGGCGAGTTGATTCGGCGGTCGACATGAATCGGGTTGGCAGAGATCGGCAGCCGAGTCGGGAGGAGTCGGATCGGCGGAGATCGGCAGGCCAAGAAAGAACGCCTCAGTTGAGAAAGCGGAGTCCGAAACGGGATCCGAAACCAAATCGGATCGGAATCGGAAGCCGTCGGCACTGAGTCGAAGCGTGGCGAACTGAACCCTGGAGGGGATCCTGAACCGGCCGAGACCGCGCGGCCCTCGGCGGTGCATCGCCGGCACATCGCCGATAGGCCCCCGATAGCGGGTTCCCGCGATCTTGGGCGGGGAGGGGGCTATCAGACCCCCATCGGCGATCACTGGGCGACTGGGGGTCGATGCGTCCCCCCCTTACATCCCCACCTGTCGTTGCCCCTGACCTCGGCACTCGACGTCCAGCCGAAGTCCAGCCGAGATGTCGCAGGGGGCAGAGCTCTCTGCCAGCAGAGCGCGTGCAGAGGTGCGGCGGCGAGGGGCGCCGCTGAAGGGGACGTGCGAGCCTTGCGAGAATGGGGGAACAAACGAAGACATAAACATCAACGTTCGGATCTCCGCGCGAATATCATGGATCTGCGCTGGACTCCCCCTGGCGGCGCCTCCGGCGCCGCCCCTTGGCCCGTGCAATATCTCCTGGCGGCTCCCACTTGGGTGCTCCAAGTGCCATGGGTCCTGCACCGTTGTGATCAGAAGGAGCGGAAGAGAGAGACGCGCCCAGAGCCGTGGCGTTTCGCTCAAGGTATCGCCACAATCTATCCCGTTCGGGAATGGGTCTTCCCGAGAGGGACGCACGTCCCCTTCATCAAAGAAGGAATAACTGCAGACAGATAAACTTTTGGAGGTCCGCGCGGATGGCTTGGATCGGCGCTGGATTCCAGTGCCTGGCGCGCGGAGCGCGCCAGGGGCGGCGCCAGAGGCGCCGCCGAGGGGCTCCAACGCCCATCTAAGAAATCAGCGGGGATGTTCGAAAGTTCGTGTTTGTGTCATTATGGGTTCCCCGATTAGTGGGACATATCGACAAGAATGGCCATTTTGATTATGGGTATCTCTTTTCAGAGACTCATGGTCACCGCTATTTATCAGGCACAGGTCACTTGTCTTTTCGACTTCCCCATGCAAGTGTCAGAACATGCTATGCACACCTGGGAGTCTCTGCGTCGAACAATGAGACGAGGACGGTGGCTCTATTACTGGATGTATGCTGTCACGTGCTTTGGCGCGCTCCGCTCGACTCGCACACCTGGCACACCTCGCGCGGCTGGAGCATGTGGTACACCTGGCTCGCGTGGAACAATTGGCAAATCTGCCGCACCAAGCGCGCCAGGCACGCTCGGGACCGTGTACCTGGCGAATCTGTCGCGCGCGGCGCACCAGGCACGCGTGGCGCACCTTGCGAGCATCGCGCACCTGGCGTCTGCGTGGGTTCCTAACAGCTGTCCCTCCGATGGCGAAATCTGCCTATGCTGAGCCTCGGGCGCTACTCGTATATTGGGAGGGCGGGTGGGAGCGAGACAGCGCGTGCTGCTCCCCATGCGAACTTCATCTCTGTTCCCTCCCTAACACGACCAGTCGCCGATGCAGAACCATGCGCGGGCTCCCCGCGACCACGTTGTGTTGTATTGTGCTTGTTGACAGGTACGGCGGAGGTGCTAGCATGTTACCCGATGTGCGCAGCCCCACCATCCCTGTCAGCCACACACATGCCAATGATACCTCAGGATGCCCATCCGCAGCCAGTGTGCATGGCGGCTGAGAGGGATGGTAGTGGTGTGGCCGACGTGTTTCTTGATGTGCGCTACAAAATGCACTGGCGCACCTGGCACGCTCTGCGCGCGTCGCGCGAGCACCCTCACCAGCGTCGCGCACCTGGCGCCTGCATGTGTCTGTATTGGTTCCCCAATGGCGACCGCTGAACATGCTGAGACTCGGGTGCTACACATTAAGTGCTGCGAGTACGAGAGGGTGTGCGCGAGACGGCTTGTGCTTTGTGGGTAGCATGACGCCTTTATCAGCCCTCCGCCCTGGGTCTGGACCTGGGAGGGGGTAGCGAACCCTCAGAGCTCCCCAGATGGCGCAATATGGTCCCAAGAGAGCCTAGGACAACTCAAGATGGCCTCAAAGATGACCCGATGTGGCTCAAAATGACTTCTAGCATGTTCTGATGCTCCGAGAGGCCATGAATACATGCCGAGAGGGCTGCAAGTGGCCACGGAGTCTCCCAAGGAGAACCACACGAGGCAACATCCACTTGAAAAAACAAAAACAATCATCAATGTTGATGTTGCTTCTCCGCCGTTCGCTTCTGGTTGACATGGGGTTCTATCGGTCTTCGTCTCCACTTAGAAGAACAAACAATGACACCAACATACACAGTCTGGGTGGATTTCTTGTATCAGCGCTTGAGGCGTCGCCAAGGGGCTCCGACGCCGATCCGAGAAATCCGCGCGAAGCTCCAAACATGTATGTATACGCAATTGTTTACTCCAGTCCACGCCCATCCCCACTCCGCCCTCCTCCTCCCTCCTGGCGATTCCTCGGGACAATTGGCCTTCTTGCACAAGGCGATCCTCACGAGCTGCCGGTCACTGCTGATGGTCTCCACCTGCGCCGGAGGGACGTCCGCGGCCCCACCGGTGGCGCCTGGCGCGCCTCAGGGACCCTTAGCATGAAGAAAACTGGTTCTGAATAGAAGCCTCCTAGAAGTTGCTATCGGTCGGGGGTCCATTCCCCGTGCATGTTAGGTGTCGTACATGTTTCGTTGTTCGCAAGATGAGCCAAGATGCTCCTCGATGCTCCTCGATGGTCCTCGACGGCCGAGCGATGCCAAACAGAGAGGGTCCGAGTAGATAGGGTCGGAAGGTCGCGACGCATCGCCAGTTCATCGCCGATGCATCGGCAACGTCGACGCTCCATCGGCGTCGTCGACGTTGAAAATCTCTGGCTCCACATCGAGCCGCATCGTCGATGCATCCAAAATTGGCCCAAGAGGCGAATTCTGGGGCTCCCGAAGGGGTAATCCCACCAGCCCTTTGGGCGACAGGTGGTCTAAGGGATAGATCTCTCTTTGTTCATCCACAAACCCTCTTCCCCTCGGGGAGGGGAACCCTCCCCCTCCCCTCCCCCCTCCCTGGGGTTTCTTAGGAGAGGGACCGATGTGTCGGAGGGTCCTTTGTTCGGCCAGTGGAAGGGCCAATTTTGGCACTCCAAACAAGGATCGTGGCCCCCCAAAGGGGGGGGGCAGACATTGAGGACCTCCATTTGTTTTACCGACCGCCTTGAAGATGGTACCAAGAGGCCCTCCAGTGCTCCCAAAAAGGCCCCCACGAGAGCTCGAATAACGCCACTGGACACCCCAAGAGGCCTCCAAGAGGCCCCCGAGAGGCACCCAAGAGGCCCCCGAGCGGCCTCAGAGAGCCCAAGATGACTTCCAAGATGGTTCAAGATAGCCCAAGCTGGCTCAAGATGGCTCCCAAGATACTCCAAGAGGCCCCAAGACCGCTCCAAGACGGCTCAAAATGGCCATGGAGTCCCCCCGGAAGGCCGCCAAGAAGCCACCATCCTTCAATCACCCAAAAGGAATCCATGAGTTTAGTCTTCTCGCCTTGTTGTTGTCGATGGTCTTCCGAAGCCTCAACACGCCGTCCAGGCCGGCCTCCTTCGCTGTTTGACTATGCGTGTCCCTTCCTCTCTCCCCCCGCCAACTCTCATGGGCATCGTTTCTGGATTGGTTGGCGGAAATATTTGTTTGGCCCGCAGGCTCGCGAAGCAAGTCGAAAGCCGGGGAAAGCTAGGGCGGGCCGCGCCGAAGCAAAGGGACAAGCAGAGATGAGGGCAGCGGCTGGTGGGGATACTTTTTTTTGGTCAGCAGCCGCAGGCGAGCGCGCCAGCGGCGAGTCCAGTCAAAGCTGCGCACGCAGCAAACACTGGTGGGGATATGTTTTCGGTCACGTCCGCGAGCGAAGGCGCAGGCGGAGTCAGAAGCGGTCCGGGCCGCGGAAACGGGCCTAATTAGCTACTTGGCGCGCCGCAGGCCGGCCGGGCCAGCTCACAAAGCAGCAGCTGTGCCGCGCGGGGAGGCTGACAGGCTGAGGGCACCCAGGGAAGCTTGGGCAACGTGCAGCCTAGCGAAATGCCAGGAAATTCGGTGTATGCCATGCGGCGTGGACCACTCACTGTGCGAGGACGTACGCGCAAATGCCTGCGCGCCTCACACGCCTGGAGTACACACAGGCGAGGTGAACGATGAACGAATCGCCAGCGGGGCGCCAGGTCCAGGGCCGTGCCAGCGGCGTATGCAAGCTGGGTGGGCCAAGCTGCCGAGGTGACGTCGAAAACCTGCCTGATTGGCTGGAATGGGTCCAGGGACTGGTGGGGATATTTTTTTAGTTCGCGGCTCCAAAGCAAATGTCAGGGAGCGGACGCAGCGTCCAGGATGCGGCACGAAGCGAATTGGCGAACCCAGCCGTCGATGTCGACAGCCGTCCGCACCTGCAAGGCATGCTCGCAGTTGCACATGCACAATACAAAATGAACTAAATTCGCAGACAAACGCACATAGGCGCAGCAGCGAACCGAAGGGCACGAGCTACAAGTGCGAGGACAGCAGAGTGAGTCGCCGATGCGGCGCCAGACTCGAGCTGACAGTGCGACAGCGAGCGAGCGACCAGCACACACAAGGCGAAACCATGTACAATAATGAAGCATAAACGGGGCCTGTCGCAACGAACTCACTGACGCCACAAGGTGGGTGGACCACGTAGAAGCCTTCAGAAGACGAAACTCTGATGTGCACTAGCGAAGTGACCACCTGCAGCTGGAGCCAGTGCGCGCACACCGTATCCGACACACGCAATTCGGGGGCATAACGATGTGAAGAACTGACACGAGCTGTGCAAACTGCTCTGCAAAAAGAACGACCGCGAACAGCGGATGGCTGAACCACTCACTGCAAGGCCGCTCCCGGGGCAAGGCCAGGCATCAGGCGTCGCCCTGTGTATGGCTGTGACTGGTGGGGATACGCGAAGCGTCAAGAATGTCTCTCGTGCTCCATCTTTCTACCTCACCCTTCCATCCGTCCTCTCCTCACCTGTTTCAAGGGCTGCACTACATGCGTGTGAAAGGCAAGAGAGGTATATCCCAAATGGGGGTACGATCGAAGACGAAGACAGCGGGTATCGAGGGTTTGGGACATACGTGTTGAATGGCACGCGAACAGGTAGGAGCGAACAAGATGAAACTGATTGTTGCTGTTGCTGTTGTCGTTGTCGCACTCGCGCCTTTGCCCGCGACCCAACCGCGACCCGCCCGCGATCCACCCGCGACACATCCGCCACCCACCAACGACTCACCCGCAAGAACATAAAACCACTGTGTGTTGCCAAATGTTCTAAGAACATGTTGCGTAACCCGCAAAATTGGTGGACCTATGAGGCGGGTCAGGACGCCTCGCCACTGCTTGATCTTATCCGAAACTGCGGGGTGCGACATATATTAGGATCAGCTCACTTGCGTTATCCATCATCGACAACGCAACGTAAGCCTGATGCCCCTGTGGTTGCCTCTGAAGCGGGCCGCCGAGGATGCGTCAATCAGGAAGGACAATGTCATCGCGTGGCTTCCCGTAGGCCCAACTCTTGGTAATTGTAGCCTTCCTGCCCAGCCGCGACCCGGCATGCGCCGAGACGTGGGCCGAGAACTGGTTTGTTGTAGGGCAGGCGATGTAATGGAGGCGGGCGTTGCCAAAAGCCGACCTTCACTCACCGTCTTCAGCTCTGCTGGTCGACGGGGAGCCGACGTTAAACTCAGCCCTCCCTCCTCCCCCCTCTCCCCGCCCCTTGCCTCTGATGGGTGTGGGCGCGTCTAACGATAGGGTCGGGTGGCTACCGCGCTTCCTGTTCTCTCCTCTGGTGCTCGCTCCTCCCTTTCCCATCTCTGTCAGTTTGCATTTGGGGGCCGTACAGGACCCTCCTCGCGGCCTCTCGTACTTAGTAGGTGTACGCCCGCGAGCGGGGAGCCAAGACGGAGGAGGCAGCCCGCGGCCGCTGATCGCCCATGCGACCAGTCCTGCAACGTTCGCGCAACCGAGAGCGTGACAGCAGTGGGTGGGGGAGCTGCGCCCACCTTGGGACACCTCGGCGAAACAGAGACTTCAGGATAGAGAGAGAGAGAGGGGGGAACGATGAGCAGGAGGACAAACTCCCTCCTCGCTCCCAGCCCCATCCCCTTCCGCTCCTCGGTTGCCTCCCTCTCCCCCTTCCCTTCCCTCCTACTCCCCATCCACTGCCTCCCCTTCTTCCATTTTCCTCCTCCCCCCATCCCCGCATGGCCTGCTTCTTCGGAAGGACGTTCCAGCCGATGCGCATCTTCACCGAAGAGTGGTTGCCCACCTGCCATTGTGCGCCAGCACACCGCGGTCAAAGGGTGCTCGCGACGGCCCAGCACGCCCACGCATCGGGAGCCTGTGTCAAGCCCGATGACGTGCTTTGCCATCGCTCGAACGTCCATTCCCCGTGCATTTGCCTGTGTCGTGCGAGCGTGTCTGTTTGCAAGATGATCCAAGATGCTCACCGATGGTCCTCGCCGAGAAGAAAAAACGCACAAGGCACTCTAGGATCGACCTGTACTCGAAGACTGAAGGCCACTGCCCCGTGCGCGGCCCGCGTAACTCCAAGGCTGCCAGGCCTCCCCGGCAGAAGCGGGCAGAACCACGTGAGCGACGAATAAAGCGGAACATACGAGAGCTGACATGGAGAACGTACGCACTGGCTTACGCGGGCAGCCAGCGCGGCACGCCACATTGGAGACGAAGGCGCTTTCGCGCGACCTTCTGCCGGCAACTTCCGCGCCAGTGTGCACAGACGGACCTGTTTCTTTGCGTCGCTTACGTGGCAAGCGGGGGACGGAAGCCAGCAGGGGCAAACGCGGAGGGAGGGGAAGGGGTAGGAATGCCCTGGCCCGCTCTCATTGACAGCACGGCACGCCCCTATCACCCGCACGATGTGGCGGTGGTGGGCGCGGGAATGGAGCAGCGATTGCTGCAGCGCTGCGCCCCTCCTCAAAATCGGAACTACTCCTTCGAGGCGCCTGTACGCTTGCGCTGCGGGCAAAACAAGAAGATCCGTGTTGCCGTAAAGCCTGCCGCTCGACACTGCCGTTCGAAGATTGGCGGGACGTCTTGCCACGCCGATTCGTCTGTCCACGGTTGGCGTTGCAAAGATAGCCTGCGACGTGGCAACGCTGGCCTGTCTATCACACGCTATCCCCAACCCTTGGGATAGCGTGCACCGAGGAAGCCCTGGCAGGGGGATACCGTGCGCCACCGAGACACTCGCAGGGGGATCGCGTGCGCAGAAGGGGCCATCGCGGGGATAGCGTGCTTTCCGGAGATTAAAAATTGCACGCTACCTTTGCCTCGCCAATCGCATTTCGTGCCGTGAATGTTCAGAACGGTGTGCGAAATGTGATCGAGGTAGCTCGCTGGTGCTACGCTGAATTTGCCTGGCCGCGGTCGCCAGCGCCGAGCCGTCAGCCTAATTAGGCCAACGCCAAGTCATCTGGGTGTCATGCGGGCAAGATGTGTATCCATACCCACTGCGTTTCGGAGTTCGGGTTCCCTTCCGAGAAGCTAAAGGTGCAGTGGATATGGATACAAATCTGGTCCCTGGAGCCTGGAAGTTTATCGATATCCACTGCGCCTCGGCATTTTGGCACCCCTTCCCAGAAAGTCCAAAACGCAATGAATATGCACACAAATCTTGCCCGCAGGAGGGGGGGCACAGTCCCCACCCTACGCAGGACCCCAGCAAGACATCATGGCTGGACGCCGCAAAACATACATGACACAACTTCCCATAAGGTCTGTCGCATTCGGGGCCCAACTCCCTCGATGCATCCTCGGAAACAAAACTCCGGATCCCAAATCCGCCGACCTTGTCGGCGTGTGGAAGAGGCTTCTCCGTCTGCCTCTTCGTCGTCGTCCTCGTCCTTTCCCTTTTCCCATAGCGTCTTCTCCTTTTCCGGGGCCTCCTCCTCAAGCGTTTCGGTCCAAACCGAAATTGAGCAACGTCGCCTTTGAGTCGAAGGGAAGACCCTTCCCTTTGATCCCTTCCCCGGCGCGGGCGGGGGGGGTCCCGGGGAAGGACCAGGGGGAGGACCCGGGGGAGCACCCAGGGGGGACCCGGGGGAGGACCCGGGGGAGCTCCCCAGGGAGGTCCTGGGTCAGATACGCAGCCCCCCCCCACCCCCTGAAGATGACCTCCAAGATCGCTCATCTAGCCCTCGATGGCTCCAGATCGCTTCCAAAAAGCCTACTAGAGGCTCGAAGATCGCGCCAAGACGTCTCCAAGTAGCCACGGAGGCTTCCAAGAACGCTTCCGAGATGGCTCCAGGTAGCCGCGGAGCCTCCCAAGGACGTTCCCGAGAGGCCCAAATCATGGACTTCCCATCGGGAAACGTACACTTTTGGCCTATACGACTTTTCGGCCTTCACGGCGTTGAAGACAGTCCAAGAAGCCCCCAAGAAGGCCCCAACACGGCTCAAGAGGCTCCCAAGAAGCGCTACCAACACGGCCCAAAAAGTGCCACAAGAGAGGCCCAAGACGGAAAGCCCGAACCAAAAATCCGAGCCTTCCGCCCCAAGAAGCTCCTTGGAGGCCCAACAAATGCCCCAAGAGACACGAAAACGGCCCCCTCCTCCACCTCCTCCTCCTCCTCCCCCACAATTACTGAATATGAATACTGCTCTCCCTCTTCCCTTGATGACGTCTTTTGCGTATTCGCCCCCCCCCCCCCCCGCGTACTGTTTTTTTTACACACACGATTCCCCGGAGTTGGGTTTTCGCCTGCCTTTTTTTCAAAATGCTGCTCTCGCTGAGGCGCCGGCCTCATTTCTGTTCCCGAATCGTTCCGAATCGTGCTCCCGCTGCAGCGTGGGCCTCATTTTCGGATCGGTGTTTTGCCTCCGTCGTTCAGGATGGCGTTCGCGCCCCAGCGCGGGCCTCTTTCTCGCGCGCCCATCCGCCCGCCACCACCGCGCCGCACCACCCCGCCCCGCCGCACGCACACCCACCGCCACTTCCACCTACCAACGCACGCACGCACGCACGCGCACCACCACCGCGCACCGCCACCACCACCGCACTACCCCACCCACCACCACCACGCTACACCGCGTCACACCACATCACACGCGCGCACACACACACACACGCACGCACGCACACACGCACGCACACACACATACAGACGCACACACACACACACAAACACACACACACACACACACACACGCACACACAGACACACACACACACACACACACACCACCACCACCGCCACCACCACCACCGCCATCACGCACGTACGCACCTGGCCCGCCACCAAACCACCAAGACGCCACACCACGTCACACCACAGCACACGCGCACACACGCACACACACACACATACACACCACCACCACCACAACAACCACAACCACGCACACACGCACGCACGCACACGCACTACCACCCACTACGCACACGCGCGCGGAGCCACAGGTCCGCTACGACACGCGTCCGCGGATAGAGAAAATCAGCGCCATGGTAAGGGATGGGAGGGAGGGGTAGGATGTCAGATGTTGACGCGAGCGCACCTAACTTGTCCTCCTCCCCTCCCTTGCTCCCCCTCCTCTGGCTCCTCGTCTGCCTCCTCCTCCGCTTAGGAACAGCTCGGCGCTGAGCCTGAGTTACGCAATCATGCCTGGTGATGCATCCACGAATCTCTGCGGTCGTCGGCCTCCTCCTCCTTCCTCTTCCTTCTCCCTATTCCTCCCCCTCTTACCCTGTATTCCACACCTTCCTCCGATTCGTTTCCCCGCATCCTCCTCCCTTATCGTCCTCCTCATCCTATCCCTCCTCACCGAACCGGCCCGCGAACCGAACCGGCCGAACCAAACAGGCGGAACCGAACCGGCCAACCAGGCGAACCGGACTGGCCGAACCGAACTGGCGGAACCGAACGGAGCCACTGGGATCCCGAAACTCGGCAGTCCTCCAGGACTCCAGAACCCCCAGGACCCTTACCCCCAGGAACCCAGAACCAAAGACCCCCAGGACCCCAAGGGCCCCCAGACTCCCGCAGGACTCCCAGGACGCCCAGGACCCCGGACCCCTGGTACCTCCAGGACCCTCACCCCCAGGACCCCCAAGACCCCCAATGTCCAGACCTCCCCGGTCCAGACTCCCCCGGTTGATCCGTTCCCCAGCCTAGCCTGGTTGTTTACCATCACTGACAGATCGCTGTCTTCAGGGTCGGCGGCACCGGCCGTAAGGCCTTCGCAATATCTGGTGGACTGACAGCAATTCGAATAGGCCAGCTGGCCGCTATGTGGGTCTGCTGGAGGCTGGCTGATGGGTCGAGAGCTCCGAAGGTCTCGAGAAAACCGCGCCTCCAGACGTCTGGGAGGGGGCACGGGCACGATGAGTAAAGCGCGTGCCTTGGCCCGAGAGGCAGCGCCGACACCCTCGCACGAAGCGCTGGCGCGCCCCTCTGCCGCCAGCGAAGGCGAACGGGGCGGTGGAAGATCCCCCGCTGTCAACCATGGCCCTTCAGAAGGCTGACGCAAACATGATACGTCAAAACCTTTCTTCTCACCTCTTCCTCCAAGTCTAGACCTATCCTGGGTCCTTTTGACCAGCCTTACAAAGTGGATCCAGACCTGGCGACGAAGGAACAACCCCCGAAGGGCCAGAGAATCGGGACAGCGGCGACGGCGATGAATCCTCCTCCTCCTAATCCCGAGGCTGTTAATAGTCATGGTACTTGTGTTGCTGAGTCCCCCAAGCCTCGACATACCGGTCTATCGCCCCAGGCCCCAAGACCTGAACATCGGCACTATAAAATTATGACGTCGAAGACCTGCGTCCCTTCGACGTCAATCCCCCAGCCCTGAGTACGTTCTGATCAAAAGTTCGAGGCGGATCCATCAGTGGCGACGAGGCGCCTGGGAAAGGTGGCTAGACAAAGGTCAAACAACATATGATCTCCGACATCGATATCCTTGTCCTCCTCTCCTCCTCCTCCGTGTTGGTTTTCTCACCTCCTCATTCTTCTCCTCCCGCCTCGTCGCCCCCTCCTTCCACTGGAGTGCCGTAGGGCCTTGAAGCTGCGGGTGACTATCCGGTCGATGGGCGTCATGACCCCGCACAACAGCTGCGGGGGGTCAAGTTCTCCTGGGGAAGGCAAGAGGGAAGCGGAAGGGAGGGATACATCCTCAAGCGTCCTCATTAATGCTCGAGCAATGCTCTAGCGAGGCGAACCACAAGATGTGTTCGTGCAATGTTCATGTTGCATTGCCTTGATCGGACAGCGTTGGTATAGAGCAGAGCGCATTGGATACAGGAAGGGGGGAGGGAGGATTGCCCCTGCTTGTCCTCGTTGTCGGTGTTCGCGCGCCCAAACCAACGCAAACACGGCGAGCAACCACAAGCAAACACTGTACCACCGCTGCCCCAGGCACGCATGAAACCATACAGGCGCCGCAGGCAACGACGGGCAACCACTGTTGGCAACCACCCAACCAAGATGTTACACATCCATGATAAGGGCAACTCGCCTGGTGTCCGTTCTTGGATGGGCTGGTGGGGAGAAGCGAGGCGTCAAGAACATCAAAACCTTTCCCTGCTGCACCATCTGCATGGTCTCCTCTGCCCGACCCTCTGCCTGCCACTACGTCGCACGCTCGGCCTCGAGTTTGTTCTCAAGGATGGCCTTCTGCCGCAGATCGCCCATCACCTGAAACCCCTCGCCACACGACTGCTTGAGGGCCGCGCCAAGCTTCATCCGCTCGGTCTGTAGGCCGCCCAGCTCCGCCATGCACTCCTTGAGGTCCAGATTGAATTTGTCAGGGCCTTCTCGAGGTCGCCGTGTTAGTACTTCGCCTCGGCCTCCGCCAACTGCATCCTGACGTGAACCAGCTCGTGCTGCGGCAACTCGCGGACCTCGGTCCCTGCATGTGCCGCCGTCTCCACCGAGGGTGGCGGCAACTGCGTCTTGACCACCATTTGGCGGCCAACGTGGGCATGACCTGGTCCTCGGCGGTGACATTGCCCAGCTTCGCCTCGACCGGCTGCGTATATGGCGACTCCTCCCAATGCGGCTTTCCCACTGCTGCCTTGGTCTCGGTATGCTGCTCTGAGCTTTGCATGGGAACAGCACAGCACACACCAGCCAGGACCACCACTCCCGACCTGGTGATACATGGGGTCCTGGCTGGAGGTAAGGGTGGCCTTTGGCTCCCAAGAGCACCCCCAAAACACTCCCACCCCCATCCACAACCCCCCGGATCACGGGGTCGGGAGTAGGGGTCCTGGCTGGGTCTGGGGGTGGATTGTGCCGTGATCATTGCGCGAGTCCTCCAGCGGTCGTCCACTTGCGCGTATTCGCAAACGCCTCCTCGGCTCCACCCAGGTGCGACGGGAGAGGGCCCCCCCTAAGCACAGGGCGAATCGAGGCCTGTGGCCTGCGTCCACAGGCCCAGCGTCGCGACAACCTCCGCCGCTGCGCCGAGCAGACGCCGCCTACCCGTCGAGGGAGGGTCGCGCTACGCAGCGCGCTGCCGTTCCCGTCAGCGTGTTCCCACCGGCGGAGATCCGAGAGAGGGAGGAGGAGGCGCCTTCTCAGAAGGCTCGGCCAGCGTCTGGCCTTGAGACAAATATTCTGAGACTCCTCCGAAGACGCAGGACACTCTCCAAAAGGTCGGAGGGTGTCTGCGAAGCGCCGCAGCCTCCTGAGGAGGCATGCTCCTCCTCCCTTCATCCCCGGGCGCGCCGCCGATCCCAGCCACCTGACGCTCCAGCAGCGCGGAGACGAGATCAACAGCATCGTTGACCGCGTGGCGAGGGCCCCGTGCAAGACGCCCCCTGCCGCACCGCGATACCTCGCCTCGCACCACCACGCGATCCGCGCTACGTCGCAGCACAGGCGTGTGAGAGCCGCGCGCCGCCCAGCGGGGACCTATGGAGCGCCGAGGGGCCTTGAGCCCAAAGAGAGAGGGAGAGCGAAAGAGGAGGACGAGGAGGAGGCCTCGCTCTCGTCGCGCCTCCCGCCGAGCGCCGTCTCCTGGGGGATCGTAGTTGACGCCAACCTGCTGCAGAGGGAGGTAGAGCGGGTTCCCGAAGGACTTCAGCCTCGCCCGCGCGACCCAAAGCAAGCCGATTACGCATTAGGCTCGGGCGCCCCCGATAGAAGAGATAGAAAAGGACAACCTGGAATCATCATAAACGGTCGGAAATTCGCACGGAGTTCTTGGCACGGCGCTGGACCCGCCTCCGGCCGGGCGGAATGCCAGGGGCAACGCTGGAGGCGCCGTTGCGGAGGTCCAGCGCCGTTTCGAGAAATCGGCACGGACCTCCACGTTTATGCTGATGCGTCCTATGATTAGTATTGCTCGTATTACTATCATTATTCGTGTTATTATTCTTAATAGTCTTACTACTATTATTATGTGTTGATAATATCATTGTTAGCCGTATGATTGCACTTTTAGTATTCGTATCAGTATTCGTTTTTGTATAAGTAGTAGTCTTCGCATTTTATGGTTATTACTCATATTATTACGATGATGATGATGCCTTCCTCACAGGAGCTCCCACGAACCTCAGGTGTCACCTGGACCTCTCTCCCCTGACTGCCAAAACGCCAAAGACTTGTTTCCCTCGTCCCTTCCCCTTCGCACCCCGTCTGGGAAAAGAGCCGCTGGAAACACGCTCCCCCATTCGCGCCTGCGGTGCTGGCCGAAACCGGGCCAGGGACTCCGAACGTGCGTCCCCTCCCTCCTCCCGCGCCCCCAACCCTCCGTTTGCGAGTCCTCCTCTGCGCCGCGTCGCTCGGAGCATGGCTGCCGAGGTTTGTGGGGCGCTTTTGATGATCCTCCGGGGGCCTCCATTTGGAAACCTCCGGAACATTCTGGAAACTCCAACCGCCTGCCCACTGAACTTCTCACGAAATCGAGCCACCCCCCGAAGAAGACCAACTCACCAATTCAGACCGTTCAGAACCGTTTTCTTCGTGCGGATGACTTGCCCCGCGTGTAGTGAAGCGCGCTTTCCACGCTTGACGAGAAAATGCTGTGAACGACACAAGAGTAGAAGTGAACACGAGGAGCGCACGCAGGGAACAATAAACAAAAACCAGAACAATATAGAAAAAGAGCGGGAGAGACATGGGGCGAGAGAGTGACATAGAAAAAGAGAGAGAGACAGTCAGCGAGGCAAAACAAGAGAGAGAGAGAGACTGAGACGGAGATACGGGTTTGACTTGAAAGCGAGGCGCCAACGATGCAGCAGCACCGCGAGCGCCTCGCCCAGCGGGCCGCACTCTCCGGGCGGCGGCAAGCGCCGCGCCGACGACGAGCCACACCAGCAGCCCCAACGCCATCGGCACATACGCAAAGTGCTCAGCGAAGGGATGTGATTAGTTTGGGCCGTGGCTGCTGAACCCTGGACGGCAACGGACATACTGATACACATCAGACAACAATAAACATATCTGCTCAAGGCCTCCGACATCCTGGCGACGGTAGACGACGAACCTTGGGCGGCACTCGTCGAGGCCGGGCAACGTCTTTTTAGCGATCACTGGACGGAAGATCGCTGTGGCATGCGGTGGAAGCCGAAGGTCTGTTACCACTGGGGCCTCGGCCACCTGCTTTTCTTTCGTCCGTTGCCCTTGGCGGGGTTTTTCTCCCTGCCCTGATTGGCCGCGCCTTGCGGTGATCATCATCGATGGCGGCGCAGTTGCACATTTCGTCGGCCACGTGATTCCGCTGCGGGGGGGGGCATGACGGCGCCGCTGCTCCTCTGCTCTTCACCTCGATGCCGAAGTAATGCCCCCAGCCCCCACAGCTCGGGTTCTGGGGGTTCTCCTCGTAAGCCTCCTCGATCAGCTGCTATCCCCAGGTCATTGAAGTTGAGCTCGGAAAGTGAGCTCGGCCATCCCCTGACTCTTGAAGTTGAGGCCGTCCCCGGATGTCCCGATCTGAAGGGGCCTTGGACAAGAGCTGATGCTCGTACGCGAAAAGTTCGTGCGACTTTGATGCCAGAATCTGCAACGCAACGGACGTGCTCATGCACGAGGCCCCCGCCTCCAGCCCGCGCGGTGGGGACAACCACGGGGTACCCACTCGCGCGAGGCCCGTCACAAAAAAAACTTCACGACCGGATCCTTGACCATCTCGGCCGCGCTCTGCGTGAAGAGATGGTGGCGCCCGCTGGGGTCGATGACCATCGCGCGCCTGTCCACAGCCAGTTCGGTTTGTCGCTGCATCACGGACTGATCCACGTCAGTCCCAGCGTGCAGGAAGCGGCAGGCGTGAATATGGCCGTTCAAGGCCATCAACGCCCAATCGTTCACGGCGAACGCTCCCGCGGCGCCGCGGGCAAGGTTACCTCGAACCCGAGGCGATGGCCCACGGCGGGTTCGTCCAGCACCAGGGCCAAGTGCGGCCCCGCGATGCGCGCAGGCCCCGGCGCCGCCGCGGCCGTTGCAGCCACTGGATCAGCTGGCCCTGCGGTTCCCACGGAGCCCCCTGGCACGGCAGCGCGCGGCCACGGCCGCAAGGGCCAGAGCGGACGCACCGCCCGCTGGCCCAAACTTCGCGGCAAAGCCCAAACCGCGGGCCGTGCGTTCCGCCTCCCTCAGCTGCCGCCCCTCCTGCTTCTCCACGGCGGTGGGCCGCGGGTTGAAAGCGCACACCCGGCTGACGCCCAAGACGCCTGCCTCGGGAGCGCTGGGGAAGCGGATCCCTGACAAATCGAGGTCGGAAGCGTCCAACTGCTGCACGAAGATGTCGAAGTCCGACCTGCAGACCACGCACTCGCACCAGAGGTGCTGGTCGTATCTGACCAGAAGCACGTCACCAGCTCGTGTAGCCATCTTGAACCTCACCGCGTCCTTGGACTGCGGGAGAACGGCGAGTTCGCAGAGGAGGTCCAGACATCCTCACCACCTGCCCGGGCTCTCCCGGGCCCTAAGACAGGGCCGCCCACCCTGTGCGACGCGTCCTGCCCCCGCACGCCCACAAGATGCAGACGGCGAGAATGCCTGCAACGAACACGGCGCAGCTGCCAAAACTCGCGAGGAGGATGTCCCGCTGCAGGGACGCGACCTCAGGGCAGGCCGGACAAGCGCAGTCTGGGCAGACAGTGCAAGACACCCTCTGCAGGTGCTCCGGCCCGCAGCGCGCCAGCTGCTCGCGGAGGACCTACAGCAGCCTGGCGCCAGGCTCGGGCCCGCTGAAGTCGAAGTGGCAGGAGGCAGGAGAGGTCATGCGACCAAATGTTCTAAAAGCGTTCGCCAAGCATCCACAGGACCCAGCGGGCTGCTGCTTGCATGCGCCGCCCGAAGGATGAAGGAAGCCTCTCGAAAACAGAAACTTGAGCCAAGAATCGTCCGCATCTGTAGGACCTGGCAAGCATGCTGACTCAACAAATTTGTAAATTTATGCATTTCTGAATCCCCCTCCGTGCCTTCAGCACGTAATGGAATGCCCGAAGGCTCATGCAATCCTGAGAGTTCGAAAGCTCGTGGGTTCTACGGAACTTCCGGAAATCCTTTGCGCTTCTGGCTTTCTCTGGGCCTTTTCCAGGGTTGCTCGTGTAGGCCTCTGGGGCGAAGAACACAAAGGTTTCCCGAGAAACGCCGAAGAGCGTCCAAGACGGCATCGAGACGGCCCCAGAATATGCCAAGACTGGACTCGATGCCCTTTAGACGGCCCAAGCGGTCCCAAGAAGCCCCAAGAGGGATCCTAGAGGACCCCCAAGATGGCCCTGAGAGGCTCAAATAAGTTGTTTCCGTTGATGTGTTACTGCTTCTAGCGTGACCGCCTTTGGGGGGCTTCCGACGCTCCAGGTCGGCCCCAGTCGCCAAGAATCGTTCAGGAGAATGATGAGGCGTTAAAGAGGAGGAGAGAGAAAAAGAGGAGGCGAAAGAGTGGATGGGGGACGGACATGAAGAGAGGAGGAGCAAGATCAGGAGCAGATGGAAGAGGACCGGGTCGAACTCGGCACCGATGGAAGAAGTCTGCGGAGACCTCAGAAAATTCATGAGTCGGCACATCGGGACGAAACTGTGCGATCGACTCATTGTAAACAATCGGCGCATGCTATACATATGCGCCCTGCAAACTCGTCACCTTGAGGCATTTGCGTACGATTCCGAGTGCATTTCTGCGAACCCCCTTGAACTCACAGTTTCACTCATGGCCCTTCGCATTATGACCACAGGCCAACAATGAACAATATGTGCTGGCGGATTGACTGAAACGATGAACGACATCTGGCCGAGAGGTTGTGGCTCTCAGGCAGGATTCGCCGGGCTGGTGCAGCAGCCTGATGGGTACGCGAAAGTGATTCGAGCCGCTGGAATGTTCCTCCATCTGCTGGATCTTCACGATCAGCTCGTCCTGTTGGGTGCTCAAATCATGGTAAGGCTCGCGCTGTCCTTTACACGCACACAATTCGAGGTTCGAAGGGACCCTCAATCGGCCAGTGATGAAATGCTGGCTGCATTGCTGAAACACACATCAACCTTACGGGCGCAACGTATCACAGGCCAAACTTAACCGGTCGCAAGTGGCAACGCACGAACATAGCAAGGCACACACACACACACACGCACACACACACACGTCCAATCCGCCCTCGTCAGGCGCTCTTCCTGCTCCTCATCTCATCCGGGTTCACCTCCCCCCTACCCACCCCAGAGCCCGCCAAGAAGATCACCACATTTCCTGAAACTCTCGAGGACGACAACAAGAAATCACCTTGTTCCTCCTCTTCCCCATCTCCCTTTCTAGAGATCTCCAGGGGTTTCAGAAGTTCCTGGATGTCTCTGGAGATCTTCGAGTGCCACCCGAGGCACCAAAGGCGAAATACTTACCTCGATCCTCGAACTACCTCTTCCTCCTCCTCATCAGATTCCTTCCTCTCATCCTCTCCTGGTCCTCCGCCCCACCCCCCCATCCCCCCGTCCTCCTCCACATGCGCCAACGAGTCCGGTGGCACGACCGATACCTTCCTCGTACGCGGCCACTGCACTCAATGCCCTGAACTCGTGGTGATCCGCGCCAGCTCCCCTCAGGGGTGCCTTGGGTGTGGGATAGGGAGAGAAGGATAAGGGAGACGGAGGATGACATAGACAGGATGTAGAGAAATAGGAATGCGGAGAGAGGAAGGATGAGGGGTGGAGCAAGACAGAGAGGATATGCAAAACGATATGTGTATATATCAGGATGACGGGGCAAAACGGTTATCCGTTGTCCCTGGGTGCGTGGCTGAAGTAGGGATCCGCGGTCTGGATTACTGTAGATGTTATTTGTTTGTCTGTTGTCATCACCCTCGTCCGCGACTCGCCCACGACCCACCCGCGACCCTACTGCGACCAACCCGCGACTCACCCCCGCGACCCACACGCCCAACCCCTTACTCTGATCCGCAATTGCGGGGTGCTACGTATATACATACATATAAATCGATGTATAGAGAGAAGGGGGCACGAACAAGAAAAAGAACAGAGATACTGGACGAGCATGAGAAGCAGGATGAGAAAGCGAGAGGGAGCAGCGGCTGAATGCACAGCGCGGATGGCGCATTAAAAACTACTGTCGCGACAACGTGACATCGACGTACACCTCTCTCGAAGCGTATACCTGGTGACCTCCTCGCTGGAAGAACGCTTGACACACAGACAGTGCCTACAGCGTCACACGCAGAGTCGAAGTATCGCCAGGCAAACAGAGATCCAGGTTGCGACTACTTCCCCCCTCCTTCCCCTGTGTTGGACGCGGGAAGAAGGCCCAGTTCGTCCTCCATCTCGCCAGGCAGGTCACTGTAGCACGTGAGAGTCACGACCTCAGGGGGGCCGCGAAGCTGGAAGCTGGGCCGCTGAGCGAGGAGGGGGCCGAACAGCCAAACAGATGCCAAACATTGCAATTTCTGTTTTTGATGAAGTGAGACCTGGCTCCTGGCATCGGCGTGGATCGTCCACCCTTGAACTCCACTCTCGGAGGCCCCCAGGGCCCGTGCTCGGGCATAACAAATAAAAAGACGGAGGAAAATGGCATAAACGTAAACGTTCGGAGGTTCGCGCGGGTTTCATGGATCGGCGCCGAATCCCCTGGCGGCGCCTTCGGCGCCGCCCGTGGCGAGCTCCGCGCGCCAAGCAGGAGAGTCCAGCGCCGCTCTGAGAAATCCAGATGGATCTCCGAACATGTCTATGTCATTATACGTTCCCCGAAATCTTGAATTCCGCTCTCGAAGGCCTCAAAGCTGGCTTACCCGGACGGTATCACCACCAAAAAGAGGTGGAAGCAAGGGAACCACCCTAAGGGAAACGCGAATGCGGCAGATCAGGCGGTCGAGCACGCACCAGTGCCCCAAGCACCGCCAACACTGCACAGATTCCATCTCACCGACTCCATCCAACCTCGTTCCAGCCCCTCTCTTCCACTGCCTCTCCTACTCCTCCTGCGTTGAGCCGCGCGTCTCCTCCTGCCTCCTCAACGCCCACTCCTCTCCGCTGCCGTTGCGCTGTCTGCAACATGCTGTAGCTGCTCTGGCTTTGCCGATCCTGCTGTTCATCCCTCGCACTGATCATGCCTCACGTATGGAGCTCCACCTACGGCACCAGTCAATGCGCCGGCACGGTGGCACCGCACCCACTCTGGGCACAACTCTCACACAGATATGGCCCCACAAGGGAGCGCCTCCCACCCCACGGCCCCAGTGGGCGCTCCCGCATGATTGCCATCCCATGTGGGGCGTGCACACACACACACACACACACACACACACACACACACACACACACACACACACACACACGCACACACACACACGCACACCCATCTCTGGATTGCTAGTGACGCCACACCCCATCTCTGGATGGGCAGCGACGCGCCCCACGACGCGCGAAGGAGGAGGAGGAGGAGGAGGAGGAGGAGGAGGAGCAGGAGGAGGACGATGATGGGCGGCGACGCCACACCCCTCTCGGCACGGAGGGCCGCGTGGGCGGCGGCGAGAGGACCGTCGAGCCGAAGGGCTGCAGCCAGTCCGTGGCAGGGTCGACCTGAGGGTAGGCAAGGAGGAGAGGGAGGATAGGTGGATGGTTGGATGGGCAGCGCATTGGAAAGATCGGGAAAGACGATCACCGACACGAGGGGGATCGATCCGAGTCAAATCGCCCCTGAAACTTTGGCGGCCTCTTCTTTGGCCGTAAATCTGGCGACCCCCAGAGACATCCTTGAAACCGGCAAACCGCCTGAGAAATCCCCCAATCTGGGCGCGAGCGGGCCCGTGAGATACCTCCTGGGGACCCACCTACCAGCGCCTCGCCTGAGACATCATCGCAACGTGTGTGTTGAGACTGAGCGCGGAAGTGGTGTGGCTGAGTCTGAGTCAGGAAGAGCGAGGCAGAGTATCAGTGAGTCTTAGTGTGAGTGAGTCTGAGTGTGAGTGAGTCTGAGTATGAGTCTGAGTGGGTGTGAGTGTGAGTGTGAGTGTGTGTGTGTGTGTGAAACAAAAAACCTGAGTATGATTAACTTCGAGTCTGAGAAGCGGCTCAAAGTGCGAGTGAGTCTGTATGTGAGTGATCCCGAGCATGAGAAACCTCGGTATCATGAATCGCAGGGCGAGTGCATCTGCGTATGAGTGAGTCTGAATATGAGTGAGTCTACATGTGAGTGAATCAGATAATGATGACCTGAGGGTGGGAGGTGTGTTCTCCTTTTTCCGCGCAACCAAAGTAATAACAATAACCCCATCCTTAGGATATGGGAAATAAAGCATTGACATACCAGAGTTCGATGAGGCATAATTTTGCTGTCAATTTGTGTTGGGTTGTGGGCTCCGTTCCCTCTGGGCCGTCTTAGCCCTGGGAGATGTTCGCCGAGCTGGCATGGTTAGCGCGCCCACGCATGGCGCGCCTCCAACTCGGCGCAAATCGCCTGGGACTCCGGTGGCCCAGACGAGACGTCCGCGAGCACAGCACGGAAATGCCAAATCAAAGACAAAACACATCAAATTATCCCAGTGCGACCCTACCTAGGAGTTGAAGCATCTAGGAAAGCAACATCTACATCTACACCGACAGCTACATTAACATCCAGACCTGCATCTACATATACATCATCATCAACAGCGAGACTCACACCTTCATCTACATCTACACTGCTGATGGCTCACAGCTCATCTAGATTATACATGGCCGCAGCATAACATAGCATAGCATAGCATTTACATGGTCGCATCATAGCATACCATAGCATAGCATAGCGCAGCATCTAATAGCATAGCATAGCATATCACAGCACAGCATAGCACAGCCTAGCATAACATAGCGCAGCCTAGCATACCCTAGCATAACATAGCATAGCAAAGCGCAGCATAGCATAGCATATCACAGCATAGCGTAGCATAGCTCAGCATAGCATCTGAAAGCCAAGCTAAGGTAAGCTGTTATATGCTAAGCTAAGGTAAGCTAAGCCACGCTAAACTAAGCTAAGCTAAGCTAAGGTAAGCTAAGCCAAGCTAAGCTAAGCTAAGCTAGGCTAGGCTAAGGTAAGCTAAGCTAGGCTAGGCTAGGCTAAACTAAGCTAAGCTAAGCCAAGCTAAGCTACGCTAAGCTAAGTTAAACTAGGCTACGCCAAGCTACAGCTAAGCGAAGCTAATGTGAAGCTAAGCTAAGCTAAGGTGAAATAAGCTAAGATGAGATAAGCAACGCTAACCTAAGGGGACGTAAGTGGGGGAACCGCGGGGCGGATCCTGGGGGAACAGCCCGGGGCGCGTTCCACTGCCCAGCCCCTTTAAGCAAAGAGAGTAAGAACCCTTCTGGACAGAGCCTAGGTAGGGAACAAGTATGAAGCTGGGCACGAAACAACACACGACACACAAACCAACAAAGACACATAATAACAAAAACTCTGGCAGAAACCAATTGAATTGGATACCCCCGTGTTTTACATGTGTGCATTCCATGTATTTTTCAGTGTAGAAGAGGAGGAGGAGATGGGATGCAGAGAAGAAAGAGAAGGATGATGACAATGATGAGGAATACGAAGAGTCATGACCACTTTCCGTTCCTTCGCCGATTCCCCCCCGCCTCCTTTGGAGGAGGAGCAACCTTGGGGAACATCGCGGTCGAACGAATAACCAGGAGGCGGCTGCGCCCCTAAGATCTCGCGTTCGAATTTCGCCACGCGGGCCGGCACCGTGCCAGATTCAACATGGCCATCGTTGGCCTTCGAGGAGGGGGAGGGGGAGGAGGAGGAGGAGGAGGAGAAGGAGGAGGAGGAGGATGAGGAGGAGGAGAAGCAAGAGGCGGAGGAGGAGCAAGAGGAGAAGGCGCCCGTGCGTGGGCGCCACCTCCACCTCCTGCTCCATACCTGTCGCCAAATCGGTGGGGATAGCGTGGGGCGGGCGTCACGCCATGTCCGTGGGCCGATCCCCCTGACGAGGTTTCGCCTGGTGCCCGCCCGTTGGTTCGTAGCTTCCATCGACGTGGCACGAAACCATGGCACGCCATTCCCCTACCCCCGCCCCCTCCTCATTTCCGTCCTCCTCCCCATTTTGGCTCAAGCCTCGTTGCAGTCAGAGTTCGCTCCTCCTGATCAATCCGTTTCAAACCTCGTTTGACAGTCCGCCGAGTTCGCTCTTCTGCTTCCTCCTGCTCTCGTTCTCCTCAGTAGTGTTAAGAATTTCCACCGGTACAGAAGCCCGCTCTCTATTGGATGTCCTACGGGGATCACGAGAGCGGCGAAACTCAAGCAGTCAGCAACCGCCAGGGAATGGAATTCCAGCTTGGATCTATGTAAGGCCGCTCTCTGCTGGACGTCCCAGGTGCCCGCGGAGGTGGCGAAAGTTGCGCAATTGGCAGCCCCCCAGGAAGGAATCCTGCTTGGATCTCTGTAAGGCCGCTCCCCGCTGGACGCCCAAGGCGCCCCCAAAAGTGAGGAACATTGCTGAATTGCAAACCCTTAGAGAGGCCGTCTCGTCTGGGCCCTCTCAGCCCCAAGCAAATTGCGCCGAACTGGCGGCTTAGCGCGCCAAGCGCGGTCACGCTAGCCCCGTCAATTCGGCGAACACCTCCTGGGGCTGAGACGGCCACCACGGGACGGCGTCCGCAACCCATGGACGGAAACAACAAACAACAAACAAACCAAACCATCAACGGAAAACGAAACGGCACGGAAAATCCACATGGGATGTAGACCGACAAGACACATTGATAAGATATTGGTCACCAGACTGGTCACAAGACTTGCGCAACATTAGTGCCACTCGGTCAGAACTAACACTAGCATTGCTCAACCAAATACCAACCTAGTACCGATATGCAACAGGATGGTGCCTGCTTGGTCCAACCTGGCAAAAGCTGGCACCAATCTACAACAATATGGTACAGATATGATAACAGCTGGCGAATGCTGGTACCAATATGGCACCAACCAGAGCATACCGCATTGGTCTCTGTAGTTGCATGCTTGGTAAATTGGTACCACATCGTAGCAGATAGGGATAACAGCGCCAATATTGGTAACCGAAAATTGCCACATTAGGTGGCTTTACATAAACCAGACGTGTACCAAGCACCACCAGATTGGTGCCATATTGGTGCCATCTGTGCCATAACGAAATCTTGTCACATCTGGTACCAACCTGGTACAATGTGGAACCAAACTAGCACAGGCAGGCAGAACATGGTACCACTCATGTACAATATGGTGGTACTCATTCGTCAAAACAACATTGCTACCAATATGTTCCTGTGGTACTGCTAACCGCATGGTACCATATCCGACAAGCTTGTCCTATATTGGTACCCGACGTCGGCATTTTGGCGGCGAAAGTACATGAGATGGGTATCGGGCCGCACCAGAGTAGTACCACATGTGTGCCACCTTTGCTCAACTTATACCACGCTGGTGCCAATATGACGACACATATTGTCACATCGTGCGTCCACGTACCTGTTGCAATTTTGTATGGACGGATCAGATCAATCAGGAACACGCTTGTACAAACTGGTGCAACTGTGGTACAATCTGCGTACCGATCTTGATCAACCCAAAAGAATCCCGAACCCATTGGCAAGGATCCTCCTTCAATCTGGCACCAATCAGAGTGTATAATATTGATGCCAAGATATACCTGGTTGGCTCCAGATTGAACAGTCTGAACACCACACGGGTACAACAGTGTACTACGTTGGTACCAGACTTCACGACGTTGGTACAAAATGTGTTCCAAATTGGCACCACATTGGTAGCACCTTCGCCAGACGGGCACCAACATCGCGCCGATCTGACGAAGAACCCGGTACCAGTCGGGGTACTCCGGAGGGGCAACATTTTTTGTTTTCCAAAGTATGCGCGGCGCTCCGCACGACGACTTCGGCACAGACAGATACCCGCGCCTGTGAACAGGTCCAGTCTCCGAGCGGGCACTCTGTATGCGATCGGACAAAAAAATGCCCAGACGCTGGAAAACGCATTGCGCTCGGTTCGGCTGGGAGACGAGAAACAGTCAAAGACAACCCAAACGCTTTTTTTCCGTCGGCGGCGAGGCGAAGGCCGTCCGCTCATGCGCGTGGCATTTCGGGGTAACCGAAAGGCTAATTGGCCGGCGTGCAAAGAGGGAGGAGAAAGACGAGAGCGGCTCCGCGGGGGGAAAAGGAGGGGAAGCCGCTGAAACGTGGAAGAGTTCCGCGTCGAGCGGGCCGGGGCGGCCGACCGAGGCAACGGTGACCGTGGCAGCAGCAGGGGCCGAGTCGAGGGCGCACCCACGTACAACCCAACACACACACACACACACACATACAAACAAACCCAGAAACGGAAAACAAAAAACAAACAGAACACAACGGCTGGGCGCGAAAAACAATGAATAGCAAAATTAAACAAGACGGCCCAGACACACAAAAAACAAGCACGGCCGACACACTCAAAAACATAAGAAAACAAGACACGGAGAACATAATCAGAAAACTGCACCACCTAGACAGAGAAAGCAAGGGCCAACCATAAATCAATACGTCTGGATGCTGATTGCGTACTCGCGTGGACACGCTTT